GCCGAGCCTACTTGTTTCATTTTATGGCTGAGTTTTAATATACCATTATGTGGATATAACACATTTTGTTTATCCATTCATCAGTTGGTGGATGCTTAGGTTGTTTCAACTTTTTGCCTGAATAATGTTGCTATAAATATTCTCTAAGTATTTGTATGGACATACATTTCTTTATTTGTCTTGGATATACATATGTAAGAGTGGATTTGCTGGGTCATTTGGTGACTTTAACTTTTTGAGGAACCCCAAACTGTTTCTGAAGAGGCTGTTCCATTTTACTTTTCCACCAGCAATGTATAAAGGTACATATTAACTCTAAATCCTCACAGTAACCTTAAGAGGTTATTATCCACATCATCTAAGTGGGAAACTGACTCACAGAGAGATTATTTAGTACCTTCTTCAAAAACCATAGAGCTAAGAAATAACATATGAGGATTTAAAACGTGGCAATTTGGCCCCAGAGTCTGCTCTTAACTGTAACCCAAATGTACAGGGCCAGAAGCAACATCTGAGTACTGTAGGTAAGAGGGCATGTCAGTATAAATCACTGTAAATCAATAATTTATAAATGGACATACACTTAAAAGACTCTTTAAGCTTCTATCTTGTGATATTTAACATATAAGTCCATATACCTAAACTCATTTGTATAAATTTATCTCCTATAGTAAGAAGAAAAAAAGCAAAGATAGGACGAGAACTAGAGAAGAGGATGAAAAAACCCAACTTGATATTGTTGGTGAGTCAATTTCTTTATTCTGAGAAAGTGAATGTTTTTTTGAGATGTCATTTAAAATATTTTCCTGGTTAGATGTGTATGACCTATTCCTATTTGTCTTAAACTACTCAATATGAGTTATAGTTGTAGATTCCTTTTATTCTTTAGTATGGGAGATGGCACTGATGCCTTTTTTATGGTATAGTAACAAAGCGCAAGAGAGAGGAAACATAACTCTTTGATTTAATAGGCACCTTAGACTACATAACAACCAGAGATTCTGATTAATTTTAAGGCCTAGTATAAATAAATATTACTTAAACAATGTTTTATGAATTATTTTCTCAGAACACCTGTGTATCTTAGTAGATATACTTAGTTGATCTACTTCTAGTAGTTGAAGTAAGTTATTTGTCACTAAAAGAAGTATATTCCTAGTAAAAACCATGATTTTATAAACAAGGAAATGAATGGAAATCTTAAACAGAATAGAACATCAAGGTTGCCTATAAATGGACTCTAAACCAATCCAAATGTATTTAACCAGCCTATTTTCTATTTAGTCTTTACTTTTCCATACCTATACTTTAAAGCAACTTTTTTTCCTGTTTTAAAACTTGACAAGTTCCATTTCTAAACTTCATACATTATGGTACCTTTAAGCATATATAAAAATATAGAATGGCATAAAGGTAATGTCTTGAGATCAGGTAGTAAACTTCCAACGTTAAACTTACTTTTTCAAGATTCTAGGTTTTTTACATTCACATATGAATTTTATAATTATTAATTCCTGCAATAAAGCCTTTTGAATTTTCTGAGAGAGTTTATTATCCAGATTATTTGGGGAGAATCAACATTTTAATATAGAGTCCCAGCAATTTGTAGTTTTTAATGTAGCAGTCTTAGAATTTAAAATTTATTCTTAAGTATTTTATAATTTCACACTACTGTAAATAGAATTTTTAAATTTTATTTTCCAGTTGTTTGCTGTCAGCAGATAGACACACAGTTGATTTTTATATATTGACCTTGTAGTCTGTGATGTTAAATTCAGTTATTATTACTTCTACTGTTCTTGTTCATGTAGAAAACTTCAGAAATCTACAGTCCCGTTTCCTGTGGCTGTAGTTTTACTTCTTTGCAATCTTTGTGTCTTCTCTCTCTCTCTTTTTTTTTTAAATTTCAGAGTGTTACAGGGGTATAAATGTTTTGGTTACAAAGTTCGTTTTGTACATCTCAGGTCATAGTTATAAGTGTGGCCTTCACCCAGAATGCGTTATACCCATTAGGTGTGAATTAACCCAGTCCCTCTTCTCCCTTCCCACCTACTTGATTCCCATTAATCTTTACTTTCCTGTGTGCACATCAGCCTTAATTGACTATCTCCCATTTACTATGGAGTAC